ACGTACATACGTACATACATATATACACACATTTACATGTATATAGAGAGAGAGAGAGAGAGAGTGTGTGTGTGTCCTCCTCCTGCGTATCCAATCCTACGTGGCTGATGTATGTTCTTATAGATTGGGCCTCCTCTGGGGCACGAGTCCTTGGTGTTTCACAAGTGTTCCTAGATTTCGACCTTCTCCTGTGGCTCCAAACCGCAGTGTTTTATATACGTATGTTCCTATATGTTGGGCCTCTCCTGGGGCACGAATCCTCCCCAGGAGGCCCCAGGAGGCCCCAGGAGGCTCCAGGAGCCCCCAGCAGGCCACACGAGGCCCCAGGAGGCCTCAGGAGACCACAGGAAGCCCCAAGAGGCCTCAGGAGCCCCCATCCATGAGGCTCCAGGAGGCCCCGGGAAACCCCAGGAGGTTTCAGGAGGCCCCAGGCCCCAGGCACATGCGCAGAGACGCGCTCGTGCTACTGAGACTCATTCACGCTCCAACCCATTCACACTTCGATTCAATCCCAGACCGTCAATACTCAAGCCCGTTTTGCTCCAACTCTTGCGCCTAGACACTCACGGCGGACAGGTCCATGCTAATAGGTGCGCATTTGGGGAGCTCCACGTGACTAATTTTGCAGATTGGCGCGGGCCCTCGCACCTCCCTCCCCCCCGCCCTGGAGTAGGTCTTTGCGGTTTTTGGCGTCACTTTCAGGCAGGTCTCTCCCCCATTGGACGCACTGCTACAAACAGTCGCATGAAGCAGGGATCCGGAGCCAGACCCCGCCCCTTCCCTCAATATCGAAACGCCGAATAAGGAAACGGTCACCTACCAGACAGCACCTGGCATTGTACCGCGCCTCAACGTGCCATGAGGGCACGGTGGCGGATATGCAGAGCGGCCGGCGCCGGACAGATGCAGAGTTCATCAGACCGTGCTCGGAGTTTGCCCCGGAACCTCGCTTGGCTGCCTCGTGTCGTGAGTTGTGAAATTTCGAGTTGGAGGGCCACGTGATCCCGGTGGAAGCCCGTGCGCTGCAGCCTGTGCGTGCACAGGCCGCCAGCAGCTCAGGGCGGAGGGCCAGGTCCTCGGAGTGGCCCTGGGCACGGGTGGGTTCGAGCCGTGCCCCGCCACCTTTTCGGGCGACGAGATCCATGCAGATACCGCCGCCAAGGCTGGATCTAAGCGCTGTTTTGCTGGACCTCGGCTGTGTTCTGTTTTTCGATTTGGGAGAGAGGTGTACGAAAACAGGTAGAGCGAAGCGAAAAACAAGACGAACACAACAACAACACCACCACCACCAACAACAACAACAACAACGTTTATGTCCAGCCCTGACCGCCGCTGGCCAGTCCTAGGCCCAGAGCGGTGTGTACGCCCCCCCCCCCCTTGGCTTGGCCAGGGAAGCATGCACGCCGCCCCTGGGCCCAGGATGCGCCTGGCCATCTTCGGTGGATGTGTAAAGGCTTAAGTCGGGCCTGTTCCTCCACAGGAGGAAAGTTCCAAAATAGTTAATCATAGTCTGAGGACGATAGTATGAATATGTTTTGGCCACTTTGAGCATGTTGGGGCTATTTTTATTCGTTCCCCAGAAATCCGCCTGTAGGGGGGCATGCCCGACCTAAGTATAGACCTCGTCGCCTGGTCCATGCCTGCCCCGATCCCGCACCCGTCGCCATTCTCAAAGGCTCGACCTCTGGCCTCGCAGTCGTACCTCTTCAGGCCGCCCGGCTCGCCCAGGACGGGCATGTTGCGCCGAGCTGGCAGAGCAGGCGCCAGAGGAGGTGGGGGAGCAGGACCCGAGGGAGCAGCAGGAGCAGGAGGAGGGGAGGGGGAGTCAGAGCAGGAGGGGGAGGGCCAGGATGATGCGAAGGGCGGGAGGGATGGGAGGGAAGGGAGGAGGGAGGAGAAGAGGGAGGGAGGAAAACAATTACCCTGCGACGTACCCAACCCACGTGCATCAAATGGCAAGAGGAATATGCCAACATTAACAGGAACAACGACAGTGTAGACGCGGCGATTTGCTGTGCAAGCTACATGGGATGCGCATGCGTTGCACGGTTCACAGGACGACGATCGAAAAAACGAGGCTTGAGGCCCCAGGATCGAAGAAGAACGGGCACGGGAACGAGGGGTAGGAGAGGGATGGAATGGAGGGCGGGGGGGGCGAAAGGCCATCGCGGAAGCAGCAGCGCGCATGGAGAAGGTGAGGCGGGGAATAGGACGACGATGAAAGTGGCGGGAGGAGACAGAAGACTGCCGCGTTTGTCAAGTGCGAGCTAAACCCGCAGCGCTGCCTGCGCCATGTCGTCGCAGAGTTCCACATGATAAAACTTGTTTAGAGTGCAAGGAACAAGCGAGGCGTAGCTCGCCCGCTAGCTTCTCCGCCTCCTTCCCGCACATTTCAGCGCGGGAGCTGAACGCTCGCAGGCGCGCCGCCAGGTCTGCGGGCGGCCCGCGGGAAAGAAACTCAAGGCCGGGGTCGCGCATCATCAATCGGTTGTCCATCGTCCAAAGTTGCACTGGCGACGTACTGGTTGAACGCGGAGCGAGCAGCATCACGCGCGTGCCTGAACGCCACGCAGGTACAGTGCACGCGCGATTGGGACTTCAGGTCGATCACGCGCGTTTCCACCAGGCTTGGCAACACCACGCGACTGAGGATCTCACTGCGGTCTACCATGCTGCTGTCCGCGAATGCAATGCGCTGCCTGCAAGTAAGGCTGCGGCGTCCACTTGTCTCAGAAGATGTTCCCGCGGGCCCGAAAGGCGACCGCCAGCTCGAGCCGCGGCGCCGGCGGGCCAGATAAGGATCATGCAACAGCAAAGACGATGACAAAGCAACGAGGTATCGGCGAGTGCATGACCGGCCTCCGTTTCCTGCACTTCTTTCTTGTAGTTCCCCTAGCTCATCGAGCTCAGCAGATGTTTCTGCGGGTCCGAAGGACGACCGCCAGCTCGAGTCGCAGCGCCACGTGGCACGAACCGCAGAGCAAGGGCGCGCGAGCATTGCTCGTGGTCAGAATCTGAGTCCCCGTGGTGCCTCACTCCGCTGGCCACCCACCAGCAGCCCTCGAAAGTGGCGACCGTTTCACAGATCGCAGCCGCCCAGGGGTGGCGAGGTCTAATCTGAGTCCCCGTGGTGCCTCACTCCGCTGGACCCACCAGCGGCCTCGAAAGTGGCGACAGTTTCACACAGGGATGGCGAGGTCTAATCTGAGTCCCCGTGGTGCCTCGCTCCGCTGGACCCACCAGCAACCCTCGAAAGTGGCGACAGTTTCATAGATCGCAGCCCCCCAGAGATGGCGAGGTCTAATCTGAATCCCCGTGGTGCCTCACTCCGCTGGACCCGCCAGCAGCCCTCGAAAATGGCGACAGTTTCGCAGATCGCAGCCCTCCAGAGATGGCGAGGTCTAGTCTGAGTCCCCGTGGTGCCTCACTCCGCTGGACCCACCAGCAGCCCTCGAAAGTGGCGACAGTTTCACAGATCGCAGCCCCCCCCCCCCCCAGGGATGGCGAGGTCTAATCTGAGTCCCCGTGGTGCCTCACTCCGCTGGACCCACCAGCAGCCCTCGAAAGTGGTGACAGTTCCGCAGATCGCAGCCCGCCAGGGATGACGTGAAAGGCAAGAGAAGCGAAGAGAGAGGAGAAGGCAAGCAAGAGAGGAGAGGAGGAGGGAAGAGAGGGGGGGGGGCGGGAAGGAAGGAAGGTGGAGACCGCAGTGCTCTATTCAAAACGAGTACCCAACGCAGGAGGGTTGGGAAAAAAAAGGGGGTGGACGCACGAAACTCAGGATGCGGCGGGGCGGAGTCGCCACGGGACCACCAATCCGGTGGACGGCCGGATTGCACCGCGGTTCGCACACGTACGCTTGGGACCAGAAGGGGCCGATGCAGAAGATGCCCGCCGCTTCGCTGGAGGGCGCACGGGCACCCTTCCTCTCCCCTCCCTCCCTCCCTCCCTTCCGCCCTCCCGAACAATATATTAATATCCTCCCTCCCTTCCTCCCACCCCCTCCCCCCCTCCCCGTTCCCCTTCCCCCCCTTCCCCCCCCCCCTGCCCCCCCCCACACACACACACCGCCCCTCCCTCGCCTTGCCCCTCCCCCTCCGCCCTCCCTCTTCTCTCCCCAGTGGCCCCAGGCATGGGGCCCTCGGGTGCGGTCGGGGGGCCCGGGGCGGGGCGCAGGCTACGCACTGCTTCGAGGGCGCGGCCCCGCCCGACGGCGCCGGCGCCGCCGCCGCGCCGCTGGCGCCGACCGCCGCGCCCGTGGCGGTGCCCGCCGCGCCCTCCGCACCCGCGGGGCGGAAGCCCGCGGCGGAGCCCGAGGAGGCGCGGGCCCCTCCACAGCGGGAGGGGGCGCGCCGGGGAGACGGGGAGGAGGGCCAGTGGAGGCGCCGGCGGCCCTCCTCCCTCCGCCCCTCTTTTGGGTACCCTTCCTCGCACTGAGGGGTTGGCGTGCGCAGTAAGGGTTACGTTGCCCCTGGCTCACGGGGCGTGAGCCGTTCCCCTATCACGGCACGAGGACCGCCTCAATGTCCGATCAGACCGACCGACCCTCCCTCCTTCCATGCTCTGCCACGCCGGTGCGCTCTGGCAGGCCCGCCCGCGCTGGCCTTCTGGGCCCTTGCTGCCCGGCGGACACTGGCGCGCTTTGCTCTCCTCTGCTCCTTGCCTCCTGCCGTCCTTCCCTCCTGCTCCCCCCCCCGCTCCAGGGCCGCCGGTGTCTCGGCCCGCCCTCGTCCTCCGAGCGGGGGAGGACGGAGGGCGGTGTGTACCGCTGTTTCTCGGCGGCCTGCCCGATACACCCCCGCCCCCCCGCAGAAAGTCTCGTCGGCATCCGGGGAGAAGCGTCGGTACGGAGGAGAGTGTGATGGAGCAGGAGGGGAAGGAGGAGCGGGGAGGTGGATGAAGAAGGAGGAAGATGGGGGAGGTGGGGAGGGGGGAGAGAGGGATGGCCCTGGAAACGCGACAGGCTCGTTCCGTACGTCGGTCTAAAGTTGAAAAAAAGGATGGCCCAAATCCTGGAGGGCGGGAGGGACGAGGCGGATGGGGAGCAGGCTGCGGCGTTTCACGAGGTCGCGAGCGCCCACGTCGCTAAGGCGTCAGGGTGGATGGGGGGGGGGCGATGGGGTTCTTGGTTCGGTCGTTCGGTCGGCTCGGCCGCGTCGCAATCGGCCGCGTCTCAATCGGTTGCGCTCAGTCGTTTTGGTTATGTGGATGGTCATGTCGTTTACCACGCCGTTGCGCCCCTCTAGGCTACTTGTTATCGCCGTGGGCGCTTGTGAGGGCTGCCTACGATCTGATTCGATGCGATTCCATTCGCCGTCTAGGGCCGCGACCTCGATCCGATTCGACTTGCTTCGATTCACCTGCATCGGCCAGAGCCTGCCAGAGCCTGGTTCGGCGATCCGATTTCGTATCGATTCCAGACGTTTCGTTGGCGACGCGATCCATTTCCGATCCAATCGGATGTCGCGATTCGCTCCAGCTCAGGACCTGCCCGTGGAGGAGGACGGTGGAGGGGTCGGGGTCAACGCTAGGTGGGGATGCTCAGGAGGGGTCGCATCGACCTCCACTCGCCCGGTGATCGCCGATACGGGCCCGGTAGCCCACCCCGCCTAGGAACACAGGGATTCGCTGTCGGAGGTCCTGTTGCCCATCTGTCGGCGAAATACTGTCGATTCCAGCTCGACGTTCCCACCCCTGAGCTTCGTCCCTCCGTTGGAGGCACTTCGCGTCTGTGCATGGCCGAATGTTAGGCTCTTTTCACGTGCTCCTGTGCACTCATAGCTGGAGACCCGCGAGAGCGCTCCCGCTGGAGCTGGCACGCAGGCCAGACATGCAATTCCTGCCCGCCTGCGCCCCAGGCGGTGGTCCTTCACGGGAAGCGCAGGCCTGACCTGACCCGACCCGACCTGTCTCCCCCCGCTGAGCTCGCCCGCCTCTCCCCTCCGGGGAGGCGGGAGGCAGCGCGCCTGCAGCAGCGCAGGTGGACGCCTCGGCCGAGCACTCGGACTGCTGGATCCCGTGGCAGGCCGACGCGCCCGCGGGGCAGGGGCACCGGGCGCCCCGGACCATCTACCACGCGTTCCACAGGAGGCCCGCGCGGCGCCGCCCGCGGGCGCCGGGCCTCCAGAGGCACGGCTCCCTTCCCACCGGGGGCGCCGTTTCTCGATGCCGGTCCCCGGAGCCCAGGGTGGAGCCCCAGGACAAAAGAAGCGCGCGGGGCCATCACAGCTGCGGGACCATCAGAACAGGTGCGGGGCCGTGATCAGGGCCATTCACGTTGCATGCGGGGCGAGGAGCTGCCCCCGAGGAAGGGGTCGGGACTTCTGGGGCCGCGGGTAGAAGTCATCCTGGCGGAATACCCAGCCGCATGCAGCTGTAAATGCTGCCTTTGGGAGAACTGCCTTCTGTGGAGTTCCTTATGGGCACGAAGCGCGCGAAGGGTGCGCCCCAATGGGGAGGGGCCGCCATGCGGGCGCTGCCGCTGGGGCCTTCGGTGGAGCTTCCTTGTGGGGCCACGAAACGTGTGAGGGGTGTGCCAAAGTGGATGAGGGGGGGCGGCATGCGCACCATGCCACTAGGGCCCTCGGTGGAGCTTCTTCTGGGGCCACGAAACGAGTGAGGGGTGTCCCAAAGTAGGGGGGTGACGGGAGGAGAGAGCAGGGGGAGGAGAGGATGAGGAGAGGAGACGCGGGGATTGTTTTTAACGAGGACGCAACACCACAGGATGGTTGGGAAACGACTGGCATCGGCGGATGTCAGGGAATATCGGGATCAGAAAAACAGTCAGGTCAGCGCTGGGTTCCAAGGGAGCTGCTCGGCTACCACTAGGGCCGCCCGAGCACTGATCTGACCAGGATGAGTCGGGTCAGGATGAGTCGGGTCAGTATTCGGGCCTCCCAGGCATCACCTGAAGGGACTCGGCCGACTCGAACGCTCACCAGATTTTCGTCGACCCCGAATGGGAGGAATAGGAGCGGGAGGTCGGGACCTTGTCAGCCCACACCACCACCAAGATCGCGTGGCTCAACCCTTCCCCGTCGCCCTCCTCCTACCACATCGCCCTCCTTCCCCTCCTGCCCCCCCTCGCCCCTCATCCCCCCACCTCCCCCCTCTTCCTTTCGGCGGCGCGCCCGGGGGGGGCGTGAGGGGGCGCAGGCCTTCGAAGCCCTCCAGTCTTCTGAGAAGTTTTGTGCGTGTGTCTTCAGGGAAGGCCCAGAGAGCTTCTCCGAAGGCCCGAGGCCTTCCGAGCCTTCCGAGAAGGCCCGCGCCCTCTGACTTCCCCCCGGGCTCGCCGCCGATCCTTTCCATCTCCCCTCATCCCCATCCTCCCCCTCGCCGTCCTCCTCTCCCCCTCCGCTTCCTCCGCGCGGGGGTGGCGCGCGCGCGCGGCTGCCGCCCGTGGAAGCCTTGGCGTTCTGGCGTGCTGGTTTAGCCGCGCGCGGGTGGTCTCGCCGCGGTCGTCCAGGCCGCGGATCCCGGTCCAGTGCAGGCTGTCGGGGCGATCCCCCCCGAGGAGGCTTGCACTGGTCGTCGATCGATCGCGCCCCCCCTCTTGCGGGTCGCCGCCTTGGTCTGTTCCGAGTGGTCGGCGCAGACTGGTCGCGCGCCTCTCGCGGGGGCGGAGCACAGGAAGCGATGGCCGGGCTCGGGACGGTCGCCGCTCTCTGGACCACTCCTGATCGGAGGCCCCCAGACGGTGCGGTGACCACACAGCGTGGTGAGCCAGTGGGGTCCCTGTGGGGAGAGACAGGGGCCCCCGCCACAGAGAGCCCCTCGGGAGTGAGGGGGCGACCCCTGGGAGGTGGGCCGCCCGAGCGTTACCCAGCGCCGGACTGCGTCCGGGCGTGCCGACGCCCAGGGATCGGCCCCCCCCCCGATGGATTCTCGGCGGCGGTGGTCCCCTGCTTCTGCTCTGAGATTCGGGGCGGCCGCACGGTTTGGGGGCGTCTCGGGCAATTGTGGCCTCCAAGGTGCCAGAGCCGAGCGGCGGCGGGCCGTGCGGTGAGGTCGTTGGGGATTTCGAGGGCACCGCACGGTCCGTCACCGCACCGCACCGATCTCGCCGTGACGGGGTTGGACGAGAGGGGCGATTGGGAAGCGGGGGGGGGGAGGTGCGAGAATTGCTGCATCCAGCCGGTTTCGGCCCCACCACGGGGCGTTTTCCTCAAGACGTTGGCGCCTCCGGCGCCAGGGAAACCAGTCACGTGAGCCGAGTCGCTTACCATTCGTCCGACCCGACATGGAGGTCCTGAGGGAAACGTGTCCTGGGGATGTTTCGTCGTTTTGGGGATTCCTTGGGCCATCCCCAGGCCGTCAAAACACGAGTCGGGATGAATAGCTGGTCCTGGGGGAAGCCCCTGGGGTCCAGGGCACGTTTCTGCCAGGGCCCGTTTCCTTCATGCCAAAGAATAGCACTTTGCGCGTCGCGGCCTGCCTGGAGAGCTGCTCTCCGTCACGCGGGCGGCGTCGCGAGGGCGCGAAGATAAAAGCGTTGCGGGGCGCGCTGCGCGAAGTTGTGTAACTTGGCCGCTTCTTACCAGTTTCGCCGACGTCGCCAAGATGGTCCCCGAGCTGCGCCAGATGGGCTTCGACTCTGTGCAGATCAGCCCCGCGCAGAAGTCGAAGGAGCCGTTCGTCGTTGGGGGGGCGCCCCCCTCTACTCTTCTCTTCCTCTTCCGCTTCCTCTTCCTGCAGCGCTCTTATGTATTCTTCACCTCTCCTCTTCTCTGTCAGGGGCTTCCGTACCTGGCCTGAGGTACGTGCGCGACATTGGGTGTAGCCCAGCCTCTCGGATGTGAGAGTCCCCTCCTACCCCCTGCTTCTTCCTTTCATCCTTCCGTTCTCCGCTCATTCCTCCCTCATGTGTTCTCCTCCTTCTGCTCCTAGTTAGAAGTGCTCGGCAGTTTGACTGCTACTCTCCTCGCTCCCCCGACTGGGTCTTGGAAGTGTCCCGCTACGCAGGATTTCATGATCTGGCTTTTCCTTTCCTATGCATGTCCTATGCGTGTCCAATGGGTGTTCCCGCTGCAGCGTGGGCTTACAACAATTAGGATCGGCGCTTTGCCCCCGTCGTTCAGAATTGCTCTCTAACCCGAGCGCGGGTCACTTTTCTCGCTCCTCGCCCGCCTCATTCCTCATCCCTCTCTTCATCCTGCTCACCTTTCTGCTCATCGGTAAAGAACTCCATCTTATCCTCCTCCTCCTCCTCCTCCTCCTCCTCATCCTCATCCTCATCCTCCCCCTCCTCCGCCTCCACCTCCTCCTTCTCCCCCCTCCTCCTCCTCCTTCTCCTCCTCCTCCTACTCCTCTTCCTCCTTCTTCTCATCCTCCTCCTCCATTCCTGTTCCTTTATAAATAATTGATCCCTGTCTCACCCCGAGGCCAGTTTTTAGGGCAGGCCGAGCGTTTCGCCTGAGACGTCCTCACCGTTTATGATTCTGAAGCTTATAGAACGGCAGCAGCTTCACGGATTGATGGCGGGTTGTTTTCAAAATGTGGTTCCCGCCTCAGCGCCGCGCACATGCTTTTTCATATATGCAGGAGGTTCACAGATTTTGGGCGGGTGGTTTTCAAAATGTGGCTCTCGCCTTAGCGCCGCGCACATTCGTTTTGTTTGTTAAGTTGCAAGGGCTTCACGGATCGAGGGCGGGTGGTTTTCAAATTGTGGTTCTCGCCTTAGAGCCGCGCACACCCGCTTTAACAATTTGCAAGAGCTTCACGGATTGAGGGCGTTGGTTTTCAACATGTGGTTCTCATTTTGGCGCCGCGCACATTCGTTTTCTTTTTCGAACTTTGTAAGAGGTTCACGGATTGAGGGTGAGTGGTTTTCAAAATGTGGTTCCCGTTTAGCGCCACTTGAGGGCGGCTCTTTTTCAACAAGTGGTTCTCGCCATAGCGCCGCGCACATTTGTTTTCGAAAATTCTGCAGAGCTTCACTGATTGAGGGGGGTCCTTTTTCAAAATGTGGCTCTCGCCGTAGCGCCGCCCACATTTCAAACATTGCAAGCGTTTCACGTGTTTCCACGATCAACATACCAGAAATGGTGTTTTGGAAGGATTCAGGATTTTGCTGGTGCAACCTTTATTTTGATCCGCGGTGTTGAAGTCTCACAAATCGCGTTCTGACACGATTCCAGATCGTCAGGACGCAGCAGTCAGGTTGATCCGTGGCGTGGACATCCCGAGAACACTTTTTTGGCAGGCTTCAAGGTCTTCAAACGATTGTCTTCCAACGAGGCAGTTCCTTTAATGGAAATGAGCCGTTGTAGGGGCCTATGAAGAGGGAGTTTGGAGGGAGGGTGAATCCCAGCATCGTTGATGACTCGTGGGTTTACGCTGGTCCTCCTCCTCGCCTCCTTGATACTCCTCTGGGCTGGCCGCCGCTGAGGACGGCCACGAATGGTGGGCCCGCTACCAGCCGAAGGATTACGACGTCATCGAGGGCTACGGAACCGTCGAGGCGTTGAGCCAGTTGTGCAGGCGGCTCTCCTGGGGTCCTGGCATCTGACTTTGCCGTGTGAGCGTCCAGGGGCAGCTCGAGAGGAGGATTCGGGGTCAGCCAACCTGCTGAACGAAGTCAGACTCGGACGCCCTTTTCTCATTCCTCCACTTCTCCTTCCTCCTTCCCCTCCCCCTCTGTCTGCTCCGCATCCTCCTCCTCCTCAGCCCCCGGTCACTCATCCATTGAGGCGGGGGCCAGCGAGGTTCAGCACAGGCCCCCCGTCGTTCCTCATTTCTGCCTGACGAGGTCTGACCGTTGTCCCCCCTGGCAGTTCTGTCACACATCTATTTCGAGAGAAGGTCTCCCAGCCGAGCGCGGGAGAGATGGCGGGCCCAGCAGCAGGATGAGGAGGCCGTGGCCCAGGTGGAAGAGAGGAGTTAAGGAAGGAGTGTTGGAAGTGGGGGGAAGGCGCAAGTGCTGGGGGAAGACGAGGAAATGGAGACGCAAGGAGAGGCGCAAACAGAGGCGCAGGGGGGGGGGGCGCGAGAAGATATGTGAGGTGCCAAGGGAGTGAGGGACAACACAGGGAGGAACGGACGGAGGAGCAAGGGGAGCAAGACCACGAGGAAGAGGAGCGGGAGAGAGAGGGAGAGAGAGGGAGGAACATGATGAGAATGAGGAGTGGAGGGGATGAGGGAAAGGCCAGGAGGGTAATGAGGTTGATGCGGAGGCGTACAGCCATAGCGAAACGACTCGGCGTCTGGGGTAGTTCGGAGCGGTTTCGCAGTCTGTCTTAGACGCGCCTGGCACTCCGTCGCGTCGGTGTGGTCTTACCTTCGGGCTGATTGGCAGTCAGTCGAGGAGCAGACGGAGGATAAGGAGGAGGAGGAGGAACCCCGAAGTTGACCAGTGGCCCTGTTAAACGCATGAACACCTTCCTTCCAAAAGGGGGAGGCACTCACAGGGATTCGACTTCTCCCTTCGCGAGCTTGGCAGGGAACGCTTTGCCTGCTGTAGTGGGTGCCCCGCATGTTGTGAGCAACATGCTGTGAGCTGCGTAATGCGCGGGACCCGCACGTAGTGCAAGCACAACAAGTTTCAAGCATGACCACCATCTCATGGCCTGGGTGAGCTCTTTGAGTCCCAAGGAAAGGAATGGCCCTCGAACCTGTTTTGAGTCCCCGAGGGTACCCAGGACAGGAAGGCAGGAAACAAGGGCCTGACAACAGCTCTTGGGTGGCGGCAACCGGCTTGACTACCACAACTAAGAGGCACTGATACCGTCCGTAGGAATTGCTGCCTAGCGGGGTCACCTCGTGCTGGAATTCAGCAATTTGGCGCTGAAGGTTGTTGCTGATCTTAGGCTGGCGTGGCTTGGCTTTGGCTACAGGCTTCTTGTGAGCTCTCGCCTTGGCCTTCGCCTTGGGCCTCTGGATTCCGTCCTCCCCAGCAGCATCCGACAACAAACGAAACAAGGATAGCGGCCGCTCGGTTGCGAACGGAGCGCGTCAGCGCCTCAGATGTTTGAATTACCTCGACTTCGCCTGAGGAGAAACTAATACTAGAGCTCTGTTCAGCAAGTTTCTCAGCCACGTGGTTTCCCACAAAGGACCTGGTTTGACCATAGAGGCAGCCAGCTCAGGAGACAGATGGGATTCGATGTTGATCAACACAGCTTGGTGGATCCTCTCAGCTTGTCGGGCTCTCTTCCGCCCGTTTCTGTAGTCAGGGGGGTATTCGTCGGTCTGTACTGTAGCGAAGCCTTTGGAAACGTAGCTGCTATCAGTGACGAGTTTCAATGTGCTGTCAGACGGGGAGGACTCTAGAACCGTGACAAATCCAATGAGCGCTCCGTGATTGATGGCCTGCTGTTCCTAAACTCCTCCTCCCTCTTGCCTTGCCAGAGTCAAGTTTGGCACAGGGCCACTCACATCGAACGGCTCGAATACTACGTAGGACCACGAGACTCGACGGAATCGTGACGAAGAAGAATGCGAGCCTCCCGACGCGTCCCCAGCTCCAACCATCCATCTAGAAGCTTTGCGGAAATGCGCCATGGAAGCACATAAACGCAGAGTCTTCGAAAGGTGGAGCGGACCTGTGTCCAAGAGGCCAGCGTACTATTTGAAGCCGCACAGCGGGTTCATACTCATGCTGAACGTGTGCACGGTGGGCTAGACGCTCAGTTGTTTTGACAGGTGTCGGTTCTTTGTTCGATTCGCATTGCCATACGCGATGAAGTATCGTCTCTCTAGATCTTGATTGGCACCTGTCTCAGACCGCGGAATCAGTATCAGGCTTGTAGCTATCCAGAATTCGTTGTTTGAGCCACTGTCCTCTTGCTGCCACGCAAACAAAAGCCCCAGTCCAGTGTGCTTTACAATGCGCGCGTGCTGGATGTTCATTCTTGTAGCTCTCAGTCAAATCCACGCCGTGCTGCATGTATTCGCCTGCTTCGTGTCGTGCTGCGCGTGCGCACATGTGCCTGCGCACTGTTCTGCCTAGCTCACGTTTAAGATCTGGTATGTCGAAAGCACTTGAAGCCAAGAGATCCTCCGAAGCCCTGAGCTGGTCCCCCTGATCCGACGTCCAATCCCAAGGCCCCGTGGGTTCCCATTGGAGGTCTAGCTGGCCCTGTCGTTTGCCGCCAACCGTGATCAGGGTTTGCTCTGGCCCATCTGCATGTACTTGCCAAGTGCGCTGCGCATGCCATCGTGCTTGCGAGCATGCGCCACACTTGCGAGCTCGCAGGATCTGGGTCTCCGAGCTCGGCTCGAAGAAAAGGGTCCAGACACTCGCCTCTGACTGATGGTGAGATCGAGCGGGCGGGCGCTCTACGCCAGGCCCGAACAAATGACGGCGGCATTTCATAGACAGGAGGAGGGGGAGGAGGAGGAGGCGAGGCATGTGGAGAATGTGGAGAATTGTGTGAAGGAGTAGGGGAGGAGGAGGAGGAGGAGGAGCAGGAGGAGGAAGATGAGGCGGAGACGGAATGCAAGGTGCTCAGCACACCTTCGGCCAGGTTGGGGTCCCCGGTTGGGTCAGTCTCGCGTTGTCCTCAGGTGTGCCCGGGAGCATAGCATGATCGTTATCGCAGACGTGGTCTTCAATCACATGTTGGTCGTCGCGAGCGCCAACGAATGGGAGCAGGCAGGCTGCCCGAGGAGAGCAGGAGATGGGGAGCAGTGCATTGGTCAGTTTCGTCGTGAAGCGATCTCCTAAGGACGGGCAAGAGGTGAATTACCGCCTTGCGCCTTGCACAGTGCTTTGCTCCCCACCCTACACGATGTGGTTGTCAGGTTTGAAAAGTGCTCCGACCCGACTCGCACACCCTGCATACCGCGCCCGCTTGAAGTGTGCCGGACCTCCCTTAGAATCTGGCCTCGCTTGTTCGGCGAAGGATGATTGCGTGCCGCGGCCGCCAGGCCCCAGGGGGCCTTGTGCGTCATGGGGATCCCGCCTCGAGTTATCGTCTGGGCGTCTCTCGAAGCAAGGTAAGTTTCACGTGATATGAGCCTCTCATGTACCGAGGCCAGCCGAAGGAGCACGGCCTGCGGGCAGGTCGTTCGCAGGGCAATTGGCAAGAGACGCAGGACGGGCCGGCGTGACCTCACTCGATCGTCAAAGGAGGCACGGCAAATGTCGGCGTAGTCCGTCCATTGGAAGCTCGTGTGTCCATCTGCGTCGCCAAGTTTTGACGACACCGGCAGGCACGCCAGCTTCTGCAGGCCCGCGCAGCTTTGTTGGGTCGGCGCCGGGCGCCTCCAGCGCCACGCGCCACTCTTGGCGCACTTTTCTACCGACAAGAGCCAGTCGGCGCCGGGCGCCTCCAGCGCCACGCGCCACTCTTGGCGCACTCAAGAGCCTCAGAACGAATCGGCCACACCGATCAGGTAGTGGGCGCGGCCGCGCTGCCGAAAGCACCATCGGCCACGCGCTGGCGCGAGAAGACGTCGCTTTCCTTTGGCCTGCCTTTGGCTTGCCTCCGGCTCTTCGCATCAGGGGAAGGGGGTCAACCCCGACCGAGGTCAGGGCGTGCGGACCTCTGGAAGTTCATGTTTGTGCAGTTGTCATTGTTCTACGTTTCGGTTCGATCTTGTCGAATCTCCACAGTTCCGTCGACGCCATTCCAGATTCCAGCGAAGGACCAGGTCGGATGACTCTTGCCCTGGTCCGCGTCGTCAGCCCAGCACGCTGGCAAAATGAAGGTTGGCTTGGACTGTGGACTGCACGTGAACAGCACAGAAGGTTGCCACGACGGCGTCGGGCGCGACGACGGACGACGACAAAAACGACTACAGCTACTACTTCCAAGAAATCCGCGTAAATCTCCGAAATATGTTTATATATATATATATTTATATATGTATAGTTTACTTGTCTTCTAGGCGAGGCGCACGCCGACGCGAGGGAGGTTGCATGGGAGAGAGAGAGAGAGAGAGTCATTCCGCGAACGGTGACGTGGCAGAACAATATCAAGTGTTCGTTGCCGTAGAAATCAACCACTCTTCACAGTCAATTATCCTGTGCACTCTTCCTTCCTCTTTCGTTCCCTTCTCTCACCCGTCAATCCCCTCCGTTGCCCGCCGTCTCTTGAGGGATCTGCTGATGGCCCAAATAAGGGAACAACAAAAACGCCAACATTCAAGCCGCGATCCTTTTATTCATGTTCGTGCTCCCCCGTTGTTCTTCCTCTACCCTCCCCCCTACCCTCCCTCTGCCATCCCCCTCTACCCTCTACCCTCTACCCTCTACCCTCTACCCTCTACCCTCTGCCATCCCCCTCTACCCTCCCCTCGCCCATCCATGTGCAGGCGCAGCGCGACGAGTCCAGGTTAAGGGCGCTGCAGCTGAGGCTCGAGAAGGAGGTGGGGCCCACCTTCAGCGCCGCAGACTTCCAGTGGCCTTGGTTCCCCCCTCCCTGGGATCGGCGGCGCGCCCGTGGGGGAAGTGAGAAGCAGAGGGCCCATTCAGAAGGTTCGGAAGTGCTGGGGTCGGAGGATAGATGGGTCCCAAGAAAGATGAGGTCGGAGTAGATGGGGTCGGAGTAGATGGGGTCGGAGCAGATGGGGTCGGAAGATCGCGCCGCATCGCGCTGCATCGGCGATGCGGCTCGATGTGGAGCTCGATTTTCTCCACGCCGGCGTCGCCGATGCCTCGCCAACGTCGCCGATGCATCGCCGATGCGGCGCTATCCTCCGACCCCATCTACTCGGACCCCATTAAGGAGGCCTCTAGAAGTGCTCTGGCCTTTGAGAAGTTCTCTAAGCCGTCCACGAAGACACGTATACTTCTCAGAAGGTCAGATGGCTTCTGAAAAGCCCTGCCGCCTTTGGGAAGGCCTTCTCCTTCTCACTTCCCCCCTCGCCCGCCGCCGATGGGAGGAGAAGGATGACAGAGCCTTTGAGGAGTGTTGTTCCCCACCAGACAGGTTTGGGCTGTTAGGTTCGACAGAGAACAGCTCCTATTCAGCCTCGCGCGCCCTGCATGACGTGTGCCGGTGCTCTCTTTTTGTTCCCCCTTGTGCCTTCAACGAATGACGACTGCACACCGCGGCCGCCAGGCCCAAAAGTGTGCCGGTGCTCCGTGGTTATTATCCTGCCTCAGGTTCTCGTGTGGGGATCGCTCGAAGCTTGTTTCAAGTTGATAATGTCGATGAGGAGAAGACGAGTGTGAGAGAGAGGGATGCAACTTACATATCTATCTATATATATATATATATATATATATTATACACACGTGGAGAGAGCGAGGGAAAACAAGAGAAAACAAGAGAGAACGAAACAGAGAGCATGCGAGGTAATTAGGGGAGAGCGCGATATTCGAGGTACAGAGTATGAGGATGCATCTGCAGAGCCTGAGGAAAAACATGGGCCCAGCGGGGCGGGTGGCCCGTCGGGAGTCCCCCGATGTGGGGGTGTTCCTTTTTCCTCCCCTTCAGCTTCTCTTCTCCCTGTTTCCTCTCTCCCCCTCGGGGCATACCGACGAGCGGATATTGTTGTAGTGTTCAGGTGCGTTACCGCTCAGATCCGCAACCGCGTTTTGGGTCGCCGTCGCATCGGGTCTATATCGCTGCACGGTTGCAGCGTCGCATGGCTGGGGATGAGCCGCTGTCCTCCGGTCTTGGAGGGCCCGAGAGGAGGCGGGGTGGGAGGAGGACCATTGCAGCGTCTTTGGAGATTCACGGGCCGCAAGCTTCGAGTTTCGAGGAGGAGGAGGAGGAGGAGGAGGAGGAGGAGGAGACTCGGCTACGTGTCAGGAGGAGGAGGAAGAGGAAGGGGGGTATGTCGACGAGGGCTCCGATACGGAGGAGGGCCGCCGATTTCGCAATATGCCCTCTTCAGAGGCGTGCTATTTGTTTCTCCACTTGACCGTCCGCTGGAGAGCCGCGTGGTGTCCCCCGGAGCTTCCAGGTTCAAGCTCTACGGGCACCACTGGGACAATCTCAGGAGATCGCATGGGCTTTGCAGCTGATGAAGAGGATAGGGAAAGGGAACGATCAGTTTCTCCTCTCGCCTGAGAGGACGGGGGGATAGGCAGAGCAGGAGATGGAGGGGGACGGGGATAACGAGCAGGAGCAGAAGGATGAGGAGGATAACGAGGATCATCGAGATGAGTAGCGAACTGCGGGGGAGGAGGAGGAGGAGGAGGAGGAGGACGAGGAGGAGGACGAGGAGGAGGAGGAGGAGGACACGGAGGGCGATGGTTAGGAGAATCGTTCAGCAAGGGGTGGGGCACAGCGCCCCCTGCAGTCAGAACCCTGGCCACTCTTCCCAGACTCATCCCCCCCCGCCGCCTGTCCGCATGATGCTGGGAGCGTTGGGGCCTTCACAGGGCGAGGCTCCTCTTGTGAGTGGGCCATCTTCCACCGCTCCCCGCCTTCACCTATATTCGCCCTCCCTCGTCTTCCCCTACGCACTCTTCCCTCCTCCTCCATTCTCCTCGTCAGCCATCTCTTTCCTCCCTCCGCCTGAATCCTCCTCCTCTGGCCTTCCCCATCCTTCGTTATCGTCTGCCTCCCTGTCCACCTCCGTGCAACCTCTTCAAGAGAGGAGCAGTAGCAGGAGTAGGAGCAGGAGGATGCGGCCCCCTCCGCCCTCATCCCTGATCTTGCTGAAGCTCGGCCCACTGCTGCTGAGCTTCCACCAGCCGCGCCCGCCGGTAGTATCGCTTGTTCGTCTCCTTGCCCGCAGACACCCCCCACTCGTCACGCAGTTCAGAGTCGGGGGCGCGAAGATAGCCCTTCCCCTCTCCTCATCCTCCTGCCGGACTGCGCTCCTCTTCCTCCCTCCTCGTCGATCCTCCTCCTCCACCTCCTCCTCCTCCTCCTCCTCCTCCTCCTCCTCCTCCCCCTCCTCTTTCCTCCTTCCTCCTCCTCCTCCTCCTGCTCCTCCTCCTTCCTTCTCCTCCTTGCTTCTCCTCCTTCTCCTCGTCATCCTCTTGTCCCCCCAGCCTCTTCCTCTCTCCTCCTACTCGATTCTCCTCTTACGCCTCCTCCATATATTTTCCTCGGTGCCGTCATCCCCGTAATCCTATTCGTCCTCCTCCTCCTCCTCCTCGTTACCTCCCTCCTCCTTCAGCCTCGCGGGCCCGAGAACCATCGTGCATTGCATACCTCGCGTCACGGGGCGCGAAGCCGGCCGACCCTGTTGTCTTCGTTGCCGTCGTCCTCGCGACATGGTCGACATCCTCGAGACCGGATCGGCGAGCGTACGAAGCCCCGTTCGGAGCAGCTCGGGCTAGGTCCCTGACCTCCCGACTCACCCTTGCGACCTGTTGCGAAGCATGGCCGGCCCCAGTCGTGTTCGATCCCCGAGCTCGGGTGCAGGGGAGTGGGACCACCACGAAGAGGAGGGGTCGTGACGTTGATCCGCCGCTTCAGGCCTCCCGCGGCCCTTCCCAGGACCCGCCCCGAGCCAGGGACCACCCGTCCCTCGGGACCGCAGGACCCCCCTCTCGTCACGGCGGCGGAGCGAGGGCGATCGCATCTGGCGCTGGTCGCCCGTGGCGCTGCAAAAGATCGGCGGGCTGCTCCCAGCCGCTACGAGGGCTGGGGGAACGGCGAGTGGTCGGAGCTGCGCCACTGCTCCAAGGCTCCCTGGGCGGGGCTGCTCGGGAGCATCGAGGTGGGGGCGGAAATCACGGGACGAAGGCCATCAGCAGTCCCTGTCCGTGTTCCCCGGGCCTCGCCGTGGGTGTCGCCGCTTGGGACGGGGGGTGCCCGCCCGGGGCGGCCGCTGTGGATTTGGGACAACTATGTTGGCTGTTGGGCATCGTCTTCTTTTTTGTTCCTCCCGTCTCCTGCGTCACCCGCACGGGTGCGGAGACAACCCCGCGCTTCGCGCGCCGCGGCCTGGGCCGGAGGGCACGCCCGCGGCGCCAGGGCAGTGAAGATAGGCCGTGCATCGCGGGGCGCGATGCGCGAAGTCCGGAGACCTGGACTTCAGGCTCGCTAAGCTTTGGTGAGCATGCAATCAGGAATCGGAATGAGGGTACAAAATAACTCAGGATATAAACAAAGACTTGAGGTATCAACAAACCCCGAGGGCATCACATGAAAACCCTCGGGCGTGTTTGTATACCCTCGGGTTTTTTTTATACCTCGGGTTTTTGTTAGACCCTCGGGTTTTCCTTACATCACAGGACTGAGAAGGGGCGGGGGGACGCCGACGGCTCCTCCGCACCCACCGGTCCTGGGGAGGTCCCTCCTGCGCTCTGGCTCGGGGCCTGAGCCCTCCCGGCTTGGCCAGGGAGGCGGTCACGGGTCGCCAGGCCAGGATCCTCGCTCGGGATTCAAGGGATGGGGGTCAATGCAAAAGGGGGTCAGTCAGAGCGCCGAATCTTGCAGAGCCAGGGTTGCATGGACCCTGGCTTGGGTGCAGGATCCTGTTGGATGCCGCAGGATCTTGCAGGATCATGCAAAGCCTAATTGATCCACGTCTGGACTCACCTGGGTCAGTAGATCCCAGAGTCGCTTCTGGTCCTTGTTGGGTCTCTGGTGGCCTCTGGCTTGGCATCGCTCGGACGTGTGCATTTTTTTCTCGGTCAGAATATCCTTAGGAGCATCTTGGCTCATCTGGTTGAAAATACAGACGCGCGAGATCGAAACGTGCAAGGGGAATGGACGTCAGGCGATGGCGAGCGGAGCCACCTCCTTTACTGATCATCCCCCCTCCTTCCCCACACCTTCCGGCGCGCGCCTTGACAGGCCTTGCTGCCCTTGAGACGTATTGGAGTCCGTGGCGTCGTTTCCCGAGCGCCCGCGCCCTGCCTGCTCGTGTTCGATCGAGGCTACGGCTGATGCCGATCATCGTTTCGACTGGACGTTGTGATGGCATTGTTGCGACCAGGGGTTCTGATCGGTTGCCTGACCGGCCAACAAGAACAGCCGGAGACTCGTCGAGTCCGACCGTCCGCGCGCTGGTTTCCTAGTTTGGGGGATGTTCCGATCTGTTTGGGCGATCTTCAAGTCTGCGGAGTGTGCCAATCGAGCACTCGTGAGGCCATCCGCTTGGGCGGAGCTGTCAGTCCTGTAGACGCACCGGGGAGACAGGGATCCGCCGAAGAGACCTGTACACCACCAGCGCGTCTGGACAGGGCCATCCTGTGAGGGCGTTTTCACAATTCCAGGGCGCAGGATTGTCCTGGCCAGTCACGGAGGTGGTATGCTTTGGTACCCTTTGCGCTCGGAGGTCCCAGGCAATCTGGCGCTGTGAAGTTTCGTTCTGCGCCCTCAAGCCCCGTCCCCTTCCCTGTGTCCCAGGGGGTAGGCTTTCACCCCTGGTGCACGTTTGACAGTCCCGAGGCTGGAAACAGACCCAGGATGCCGAACTTTCGCAGATCCGAGGCGGGGATGTGTCTATACCCACCGCATAAGCGATCGATCCTCGGGGACCCCGGCAGGCGGTGGATCGAGTGGACATGGACATATTCGGGCTTCGGGGGGGAACTATATCCATATCGTCCGCCTGTCAGGGTCCCCGAAGAGTCATGCCCACAGGCAGTGGTAATTGGTAAGCTTCCGCTTGGAAATATTTGATAGTTCCGAGGTTCGAAAGAGGGCCCCAGGATGCCGAAATAATTGGAAAACGCCCAGAATGTAAAATCACGACGTCGGAGGTCAGGAGTCAGTTCGGAGGAAGGAGGGGAGGCGACACCACCACCACAAGGGGGGCCAGCTCCTGCGAGGATTCCACGATGCCACCCCGAGCTGAGGAAAGGGGATCTCTCGAGCGAGATGGGGGGGGGTGGCACAGCACCAGGAGGACCCGCCCTGGCGCCCCGCGTTGATGGTGGTGTCGCCTCTCGATGTTCCCGAGGACATTCGGAATGAACAGCCACGACGTCGGCGGTGTGCTCCTGCGGGGGCACAGTCACTCTGGGCGTGCATGGCTCGATCGGTGCAGCACCTCGCGCTGCTGTTCGGGTACCGCCCTCTAGGATCGCTAAGACTGCGGAACCCTTACAGGTAAGCACCCGCAGTGAACCAAATTCGGTTCACCTCGACGTTTTCCCTGAAGGACAAGAAGCGCAGGCGAGCCTAGGTAGGGAAGTGAGAAGGAGAAGGCCTTCTCAGAAGGCTCGGAAGTCCCCCCGCCTTCTGAGAAGTTTTCTAAGCATCCCACGACGACATAGCAAACATCTCAGAAGGCTAGATGCCTTCTGAGAAGTCCCGCCGTCGTCTGAGAAGACCCCCTTCTCACTTCCCGCCCTCGCTCACCGCCGAAAAGAAGTCACTGTCGCGACGTCGGGGGTCAGGGACCAGACCTCGTCCCCCCCCCCCCCCCCCTGGGCGCCCACCGACGGCAGCCGCGACCCCGTCATCCCGGGATGCTGCGCCGCGCGAGGTGGTGTCAGTGCACAACCGCCACTTGCAGATCCTCCTGGACGCTGGCGTGCGTGGCGCCTCCCGCAGCGTCTCGGCTTGACTCGGCGGCGAGCTGAGAGGGGGGAAGTGAGAAGGAGACGGCCTTCTCAGAAGGCTCGGAAGTCCACCGGCCCTCTGAGAAGTTTTCGAAGCGTTCCCCGAAGACGCAGAAGACTTTCCAGAAGGCCAGAGGGCTTCTGAGAAGTCTCGCCGTCTTCTGAGAAGGCCTCCTCCTTCTCACTTACCTCCTGCGCTCGCCGCCGATTGACGTCTGAGAAGCACAACTTGCATAACCAACTTGTCGGGGCTCCTCACGGATTTCTTGGACATGCGGTGGACCCCCATTCTCGGCGCGCGGCAAGATGTCTGCGCGGACCTCTGAACATGTATGCTCATGTAGTTTCTCCTTCTACCTTTGAGCCCGCGGCGTCCGTTCTGCGGGCGACCTGGCTCAGACGCCGAATGGGCTCTGGTGGCCCTGGAGCCGGGGTGCGGGAGTGTGCCGTGCGGCAACGAGGGAGCACGGGTCAAAGAGGAAACGGGCCCTTGTGGGAAACGGGCCCTTGTGGTTTCCAGCAGTTTTCGATCTTCCTGGGGCCCTTCGCGGGCCCCAGAACTGTCGAGAAACGAAACATGTGTCAGGGGATCCGCCCGGGAACGGGACCCGTAGCCACCAGGACCCCTCGTGCCCATCGGGCAGTATTCAGGGTGCGGCACTTGCTGCTCCGTCCACGTACTCAGGCTCGATCCTCTTTGGGGTACTGGATTCCTCCAGGGCCGACTCGGGCTTCAGGACTCCCGCCGTTGGCTCAAGCACGCTGGGAAAGCCTGAATTGCAGTGCGGGAGGACCTCGGAGTCCATAATACAGACACGGGCTGACAATTGAACCCAATGTGTACATACTATGTGCTTCTCCGCTAGCTTGTGAATATGTTTACCTCGCGTTTGTGACATTCGAGGTTCACGTGTTTTTGTTGCTTCCTCTGCGGTAAGCTTTCCTTTTCTCGCCTCATGTACTCCAGGTTCGTTTTCACATTACTTTGGCATGGACGGGCCTTTGGACAAAAACGGGTACCGTTTAGTGGCACAAATTGTTTCATTTGCACCACCAGGGCCGACAAAACGGGTACAACGTTTTACCGTAAGATTACATTGGCCTTCAGGTAACGCTTGTCCTTCGGACAGAAGCGGGACCCATGTCCGAACGCGGAGCATCGCGTGGATTGTTCTGCTTCGTGAGGGCATCATGCATACATGATTGCTTACGCGCGCATCGCTCATCACGCGATGGTTCTCACCAGTCTGAAGGCTCGCCGTCATTTGAGGAGGCATGCTTGAGGTGTTATCGCAATAGCAGTCGCGGTACGAGAGATCGGCCGCTCATGCGATGGTGCGTGGGGCGAAGGATGAAGACCGCGTGAGGGTTCTTGGCTCCTGAGGTTTCCGATTCGACGCCGTGAAGCACATGCGTGTGGAGCACATCGCCGAATACGTAATCTGGCTGCCGCATCTTTGCTTATGCTACTCATGATGAGAAAAACAACACACACAGAGACACAATTAATCGTCGACTCCCAGGAAGCTGCGGATAAATATGGAAAGTGGGGGGGAAGACGGAAACCCAGAAACTATTTGGAAATATCGGGGATCCTGGGAGTTGTGTCTGTTTATTTGTGTCCTTGGGCCCCTTGAGCTACATCTTCCTCCTCGTCCCTCTTGTTTATCTAAAGGTGGACTTCGAGCCTCGCTCTCGCTATCAAGCAGTAGGAAGTGGGGGGGGTGAGATCGAAGTGGAACGGATACCCCCCTTACTAGGAATTCTGTTTTGTTCTCGTATTCGCTTCGTGCGTGGGGGCGAGGCGAAGTTGCGCGGGCGGGCGAAAGGAACGAATCCTCCTCTGGCTATGGCGCCGCCAGGCCAAAAGACCGCCCCGCCTGGGTTGTCCGGCGGTGGCTGGGGGTATCCCGCCGTGGTGTCCGCTGGTGTCCTGTGGTGTCCCCTGGTGTCTTGTGTTGTCCCGCGGTGCCCGGACGGTGTTCCGATGGTGTTTCGGTGATAGCCCGATGGTGTCCCGATGGTGCTCTGGTGGTGTCCCGATGGTGTCCCGTTGGTGTCCAGTGCTGTGCTGTGCCCCGCGGTGTCCCGATGGTGTTCCAATGTCTGTTGCCTTGACCCACTGGCGTGGGTACTGCGTTCGGAGAAAATCTCGCGGGCGCATCACCAGCATCGTCAAAACCTCAATCACCGAGGTTGTCCGTAGTTGGTCCCTCCCTCCCACACAACCTCCGTATCTCCCGAATGGTGGTCGTATAGGTTTGGCAGAGAGTTTTGTCAGGGTTGCTCGCCAGGGTGCCCCGATGCGGGGAGAAGCTTGTCTGTGTTTCCTGTTAGAGAGGCGGCATGATATGATGTTTGTATGTGTTAGAATGGTGGACCTCATACTCTGCGAGGCGAGCGGTTTGGTTTCGTGTGTACCGCGGGTAGATATCTTGCGCGAGAGTTCTGCTGGTTCTGGCGAGCAGGGGAAATGGCCGAGGCTAAAGTTGCGTCGGCGAGGGCGAGTGGGTTGAATTGTAAAGCATCCACGAGATCTCCTCGGCGGCCCCCGCAGCCTCCCGAGCATCCCTCACGAGGCCCAAGGGCCCCCCGAGAGGCGCGAAAACTTTTTGACATCTCGGATCAGGACCACTTCTGGCGACACCTCACACGAAACCCGCATCACTGGCGCAGCCTGTTGGCAGCGTGCGAGGGCCTCCACGGACGCCCGGACGAGCTCGTGCCCAGCCTTGGCTTTGGCCTCAGAGGCGCGGCCCGGGGTGAGGCGGCCCGGGATGCGAGGCCCAACCCAAGCGTGCCGAGGGGAAACGCAGTATCAGTGTCACGTCGTCGGTGGGAGTCACTATTCCCAACCAACCTGTGTTGTTGGGTCCTCGTTTTGAAGAGACGGTGGCCCGCGTCTCTCCTCCTCGCCTCCTCCTCCCCCTCCTCCTGCGAGTGCCCGCATGCGTCCCGCACACCCATTTCGGCACACCCCTCACACGCTTCGTGGCCCCACAGGGAGCTCCACCGAAGGTCCCAGTGGGTGTGCCCGCATGCGTCCCGCACACCCATTTCGGCACACCCCTCACACGCTTCGTGGCCCCATAGGGAGCTCCACCGAAGGCCCCAGTGTGCCCGCATGCGTCCCGCACACCCATTTCGGCTTTTCGTGGCCCCACAGGGAGCTCCACCGAAGGTCTCCCCGCATGCGTCCCGGGACTCCACCGAAGGTGGCATGCGTCCCGCACACCCATTTCGGCACACCCCTCACACGTTTCGTGGCCCCACAGGGAGCTCCACCGAAGGTCTCAGTGGGTGTGCCCGCATGCGTCCCGCACACCCATTTCGGCACACCCCTCACACGTTTCGTGGCACCACAGGGAGCTCCACCGAAGGCCCCATGGGTGCCGCCCGCATGCGTCCCGCACACCCATTTCGGCACACCCCTCACACGTTTCGTGGCCCCACAGGGAGCTCCACCGAAGGCCCCAGTGCTGCCGTCCGCATGCGTCCCGCACACCCATTTCGGCACACCCCTCACACGTTTCGTGGCCCCACAGGGAGCTCCACCGAAGGCCCCATGGCTGCCGTCCGCATGCGTCCCGCACACCCATTTCGGCACACCCCTCACACGTTTCGTGGCCCCATAGGGAGCTCCACCGAAGGCCCCAGTGCTGCCGTCCGCATGCGTCCCGCACACCCATTTCGGCACACCCCTCACACGTTTCGTGGCCCCATAGGGAGCTCCACCGAAGGCCCCAGTGGCTGCCGTCCGCATGCGTCCCGCACACCCATTTCGGCACACCCCTCACACGTTTCGTGGCCCCATAGGGAGCTCCACCGAAGGCCCCATGGCTGCCGTCCGCATGCGTCCCGCACACCCATTTCGGCACACCCCTCACACGTTTCGTGGCCCCACAGGGAGCTCCACCGAAGGCCCCAGTGCTGCCGTCCCGCATGCGTCCCGCACACCCATTTCGGCACACCCCTCACACGTTTCGTGGCCCCATAGGGAGCTCCACCGAAGGCCCCATGGCCGCCGTCCGCATGCGTCCCGCACACCCATTTCGGCACACCCCTCACACGTTTCGTGGCCCCATAGGGAGCTCCACCGAAGGTCCCAGTGTGTGTGCCCGCATGCGTCCCGCACACTCATTTCGGCACACTCCTCACACGTTTCGTGGCCCCATAGGTAGCCCCACCGAAGGTCCAGTGGGTGTGCCCGCATGCGTCCCGCACACCCATTTCGGCACACCCCTCACACGTTTCGTGGCCCCATAGGGAGCTCCACCAAGGTCCCAGTGGGTGTGCCCGCATGCGTCCGCGGCAGCCGCATTTCGAGCACACCCCTCACACGTAATCGATGCCCCTAGTGAGCTCCACCGAAGGCCGCAGCGGGTGTGCCCGCATGCGTCCCGCACACCCATTTCGGCACACCCCTCACACGTTTCGTGGCCCCATAGGGAGCTCCACCGAAGGCCCCATGGCTGCCGTCCGCATGCGTCCAGCACACCCATTTCGGCACACCCCTCACACGTTTCGTGGCCCCACAGGGAGCTCCACCGAAGGTCCCAGTGGGTGTGCCCGCATGCGTCCCGCACACCCATTTTGGCACACCCCTCCCACGTTTCGTGGCCCCATAGGGAGCTCCACCGAAGGTCATGCGTCAGCCACACCCATTTCGGTAAACCCTTCACACGTTTCGTGGCCCCCCACCGAAGGTCCCAATGGGTGTGCCCGCATGCGTCCCGCACACCCATTTCGGCACACCCCTCACACGTTTCCTGGCCCCATAGGGAGCCCCACCGAAGGTCCCAATGGGTGTGCCCGCATGCGTCCCGCAGCTCCACCGAAGGTCCCAGTGGGTGTGCCC